ATGTCGTTCTGCGCAGCGATGAATTATATTTCGTGTTTGATCCACTTGACCTTTTTTCGAGCACCGGTACCCTACTCCGCCTCATTATTTCTATTTACAACTGCTTTTATTTACAATTTTATTATATACACGATTCTATTCTAAGAATAAGAAAAATAATAAAACAAAAAAAAATTTTTTTTGTGGTAACAAATTTTGTACAACGTGTTAAAAACCTTGTTGTAGCTCTCTTTCTAAAACCTTTGAAAGATTTCCCTTAATGTGGTCTCAACCGTACCTATTTCGATTTGTCTTATTTTGTCTTAAGACACACTTGTTGTAATTCTACTTCAATTTTTATACCGTCCCAAGACTATTCGTCACTATCACAGTACTCTCCGCTAGTGTCCTAAGACCCTTGTACCAAGGCCACTGTTCCAAGACTACTGTCCCAAGACTAGTGTCCCAAGACCACTGTTCCAAGACTACTGTCCCAAGACTAGTGTCCCAAGACCACTGTCCCAAGACTAGTGTCCCAAGGCTAGTGTCCCAAGACTACTGTCCCAAGACTAGTGTCCCAAGGGTAGTGTCCCAAGACCAGTGTCCCAAGGCTAGTGTCCCAAGACTATTGTCCCAAGACTAGTGTCCCAAGGCTAGTGTCCCAAGACTACTGTCCCAAGACTAGTGTCCCAAGGGTAGTGTCCCAAGAGTAGTGTCCCAAGACCAGTGTCCCAAGGCTGGTGTCCCAAGACTAGTGTCCCAAGACTAGTGTCCCAAGACCCTGTCCCAAGACCACTGTCCCAAGACCCTGTCCCAAGACCCTGTCCCAAGACCCTGTCCCAAGACCACTGTCCCAAGACCACTGTCCCAAGACCCTGTCCCAAGACCACTGTCCCAAGACCCTGTCCCAAGACCCCGTCCCAAGACCACTGTCCCAAGACCACTGTCCCAAGACCCTGTCCCAAGACCACTGTCCCAAGACCCTGTCCCAAGACCACTGTCCCAAGACCCTGTCCCAAGACCACTGTCCCAAGACCCTGTCCCAAGACCACTGTCCCAAGACCCTGTCCCAAGACCACTGTCCCAAGACTGCTCTGTCCCAAGACTTCTTCGGTCTTGTCCCAATACTCGTCACGGAGTGTCTTCCTCGTTGTAGGGTCTTCTTGAATCACCGTACCTTGTACCACCACTCAAGCTCTAGTAAAATTTTCCCAAAAACCCTCTCTTAAAAGCCAAATGCTGACCCCCCTCTTCTTTTTGGTTGTTTCTGTTTCAATGTAGGTGCGCAGGTATCTTGTGATCACCTGTTCGTATAAAACCAAACACCAATCCTCACTAAAATGCAACAAAAATCTAAGTAAGAAAAATAATAAAAACAGAAAAATGAGCCCACCTGAAATTCAAAGGTGACCAATGTCTACCTTTCGTCTAAAAAATATGTCTGGTACCTAATTGCCACGCGTTTTCCTCCCCCCACTATTGATCTTATGGGGTATCACAAAAGCTGTCTATGTCCGGTCCCCCCTACCAAACCAACCAGCGTACCAGTCTTAACTCGAGTTGAATTTTGGATATTCACCTATTATCACCAACGCGTGTTATGGCTAATGTAACTAAGTCAACGATGTCGATTAATTAGTTACTCTAGTTTCTCCCTTTTTACAATTTGCAACCGCTCACCTTTAGCCTAACCAGTCCCCCTTCTAACCTCCCCCCTTTCTAGCCCCCCTTCTTAAGCCTAAAAATTACTTTAAGCGCCGGGTGCTAAACCTCTCAAGAGAAAACCGTAGACCTGTTTCCAGGCCTGCTCAAGTAAAAACGTTCCTCAAAACTGGGGGATTTCGCTTATCCAATTTTACACTTATCTCCTATAATGTAATGTGGATTCTAACGATACCCGTTCTGCCCAACTTGAGAACTCGAGAATTGCCAAATCCTTCTTGGCTGCTTTCCCACTCGACTGGTCACCTGTTCCAGTCCAGTCTCCTATTGGTTCAGCTCAAGTGTCCCTGAACCACTTTCCCACTCGGCTGGTCACCTCTTCCAGTTAAGTCTCCTATTGGTTCAACTCAAGTGTCCCTGAACCACTTTTCCACTCGGCTGGTCACCTCTTCCAGTCAAGTCTCCTATTGGTCCAGCTAAGTTCCAAGCTATCTGAAAACCCTTGACAACGCCCCACTTCGGGCACTTTATTCAGTTTACTGGTTTAAATTGCTAGGTTGATCGAAACGATCGAACTTGTAAAACAGTATGGGTATACTATTTAATTAATATAAAGGTTTGATCCAACTAATCTGGTGTCAAAGTCACTGTCTTTTTTCGTTTTATGGTTTTTGTTCCTTTTTCTATTCTTTTTTGGTTTTTGTTTTGCTTTTTGTCTTTTTGCTCGTGTTTTTGTCCCCCTAGTTGCCCCCCTTTACTCGGTTAGCTAAGCCTCGTTCGGAGAGCGTACCAGGAAATTTTCTCGAGTTTTCTTAAAAAGCTATCACGGTACAACCGGAAGGTTTGCACGTTCCTGTCGAACCGTACCGCCGGTACTCTAGAATGGGCATTCAGCCCGAAGCTGTCTCAAGTGGGTTCGACTCCGTAGTCTTGATGTCGTAAACACCCAGGAGCGCCATAAAAACACTATGTAACATTCGTCTACTGCAGTCACATATGAGGCTTAAGAAAAATAGGCCCTATAACCACTGGCTCAAGGGTCAGGGACACTATCTCTTGTGTTTTTCTGCCTCAAGAACGGTCGGAGCCAGTTCGGTTCGTTTGTGACATGAGACTACGACCCGTTACAGCTTAAAGGCTACTACTAAAATATCCCCCCACTCTAGAATTAGAAACGTCCCCATACTTAGGTCTCTAGATACCCAAAATACATGAACGCCGTTAAAAACCGGGTTGGAACAATCCGTTAAGTTGCTTTTTTATTAGACAGTGGAACTTTGATCCATTTCAGATGGATCAACCTAAAACTCGCCTTACCTCAACATAACAATCATAAAACACACTCTAGGAATTCAAATTTGTACTCACATAGTAGCACGCTCAAGAAGTGGGAAATAATCCAGTCGGTAGTTAACTCAAGAATTAAATAACGTAACTAAATGAGTCTAATGTTTTATAGTTTTAACAATGAGAACGAGTTTATACTCTAGACAATAGTTTTCTTGTGAACTATTAGGACACTCAAGTTGTCCACCTTTCCACCGAAGGTTCACTCTAGTCCAGTTCCGAATAACACTCCAGTCGCTATAATCCAATTCGTGGGAATGCTCTCGTCTCTGTCACAGATGGGACAGCTCTACTCTCGATTATTATAGTGATGGAAATTGCGAATAGCAATTTCCTACTGCTTTTTCTTACAACTTTCCCGCGTGTGCGACTCAATTGTTCTGAAATTGTTCTAACTTCTTTTTCTGATTTTCAGTTCTCGCGAGAAAATCGTGCATGACAGGTTCCATTCGAAATTTTAAAAAATTAAATTTCACTCCAAAATCAAGTGTTTTTTGCTCCTCTCAAGGTCAAACTTCCAAATATGACCGACTGGCACAGTAGATAAAGTCAAATCTGCTGCAAACTTCTGTAAATGACCACTGGCACTGTATCTTGAGTCGCACTCATTATTCTGGGGGCTCACTGACAGACGACGACGCGCGATGAGGACATCGATCGTTAGTCCGGGGAGTATGTGCCACTCGATAATCTTTGGAAGTTTGACCCTGAGAAAAACGTTATTCTTGATTTTGGGGTGAAATGCAGTTTTCAAAAACTCGAGTTGAGCATGTCATGCTCAAATTTCTCGCGACCACTGAAAATATCAGTAAAATAAGATCAGAAGGTTCGAACTACAAGCGCGGGAAATTAGTCAAAAATAGCAGCGGGAATTTGCTTTTCGCAATTTTCGATAATTAATTCTAACGAGAGTAGAGCAGTTGTATTCGCGGCAGGAGACAGAAAATGATCGCGAGTGAAAGGAGAGTAAAATTCAAGTGGACTAGAGTGAACCTTCGGTAGAAAGGTGGACAACAGAAGTTTCCCAATGGTCCAGACCCAAAGCTTACTTCTTGAGCTAAAACTAATTTATTACAAACTTCTCGAGTTAAACTTAATTACCCATCAATTCTAGAGTTGCTTTATAGTTTTGTTAATCGATTCTAGAGGTCATGTCGGTATGTGAGTACCAAATTTAATTTTCTTGAGTGTGTTTTATTTTGTTATGTTGAGTTAGGGAGAGTTTTTAGTTTGATCCATCTGAAATGGATCAAAGGTCCACTGTCTAATAAAAAGTAACTATACGTAAGGTCCCGACCCTGTTTTTAACGCGTTCGTGTAGTTAAGGTATTTTGAGACCTAAGTATGGGGGCATTCTTATTTTCTAGAGTGGGGGTGGTATTTTGGTAGTGGCCTCTAAGCGGTTAACTACCAAATCTGCTGCAAACTTCTGTAAAGGCATGGGAAAGTGTTCTCTTTGGCTATTGAGGTGAGGCACGTGTGGAGTCGCATAAGATTCTTCCCATAGTTTCGAGCGACGTTGACGTCTTGGTTCCGACCGCTTGAGGTAGAAAAACACAAGAGATAGTGTCCCTGACTCTTGAGCCAATGGTTATAGGGCCTATTTTTCTTTAACCCAATATGTGACTTAAGTAGGCGACTGTTACAGTCGGTTCTTGCTTAGTTGTTGCCAGATCCGTAACAACGGTTCACAGCCTGATTTTTTTGATCTGATTTACTATGATACTTTTGACCTTCTGATTAAACATGGAAAATAATTTTAAAAAAAGGAATTGATCTGAGAGAAGCACAAACATCTGAATTGCAAATTGTCTATCAGGTACACAAGGCGGATTTGTCTATCGAAGTACTTCAAAACGAATCAGTCGTTTTTATTCAGTTACTCGAGTTAGTTGCGATCTTTCAGCTTACGTGAGTTCATAGACTTTGTTGGCTAGGTTTTTTTTGTTTTATAGCAATAAAGTAGTTTTTTTGGATTGAATGTAGCACAGCTCTGAACGTTTTTCAGGCTAAGTGCGATGTCTTGGTTCCAAAATGTAAATGGAGCCCAAGCGGAGCAGATGTTGAAGACCCCTAATATCCCTCCTGGAACTTATATAGTTAGACCAAGTACTGATTCGTCTGGAATGTATGCGCTCTCTGTTAAGGAGAGCAGAGAAAATGTTTGTCATATCAAAATAGTATATGAAGATGACCAATTCTTGCTCTACGGAAGACCAGAGCAATTCGCTACTATCAATGAGCTTATTAACTATTATGTTGAAAACCCCACGATGTTGAAATTGAAAGAGAGCGGTGATCATTCAGGTGGTTTTCTGCAGTTAACTGAACCGTATGCCAATGGCGCAGACGATATCAGAAAGGAAAAGTGGTTTCATGGACAAATTGATGGCTATGCTGCACAACAACTGCTTCAAGACTATGGAAAAAGTGGATCTTTTCTTGTACGCGAAAGTCATTCAACTCCAGGAGCATTTGTTCTTGTTGTGAAATCTGCCGAAGATGAGGTTAGAAACATCAAGATTAACAAATCGAACAACCAGTTTGATATTGGTTGTGGGGACAAATTTTCTACAGTATCAGATTTAGTGGCTCATTATTTGCAGAAACCGATTATTATCAAACCGGGAAGTGGCGATATGATGAATCATACGGGCCCAGTTTTGCTGCAAAATGGGTTGCCATCAACTCGTGTTCACGCGAAAAACTTCGTAAAGAAATTTTCAGACTTTTCAACATGCCAAGAGTTTTTGCAAATCGAATTTGAAAATCTTCAATCGCGGAAGCCGCCCAGAAAACCATACAATTTTCAGAAGGCATCCAAACCAGAAAATCGAGCTAAAAACCGTTCTCCCCAAATAGTTCCTTTTGATAAAAATAGAGTAATTCTTCCGGACGGTGTCGGGGACTCGGATTATATAAATGCAAGTAATGTAACGCTCGAGTTTGAACAAGGTTTTAAGAAGAAATACATATTGACGCAAACGCCACTGAAAGATACAGTTGACGATTTCTGGAGAATGATTTGGTACTCAAATGTGAAGGTTATTGTCATGTTAACAGAACGACAGAAAAGGCTGCCGATGGTCGATTATTGGGAGACTCTAAGTAAAGACAGTCAGTTTGTAATTAAGTGGCAAAAAGCCACGCCCTATTTTCACCCTGAAGAAATACCATCTCAACACAAGCAGTCCGAAAACGAGAAAAACTCACATTGGATTTCTACGGTATTGGAAATAACGAAGCGAAATTCAAGCCACAGTGAAACCAGAAAAATTCACCATTACAAGTTCATTAGTTGGGACACCTATCCACCAAGTCCGGCCATATTTGTGGAGTTCATCGAGAAGATTCGAACGAAAAATCCAAGTATAAATTTGGTGGACAGCAATAAACAGAAGCCGGAGTCTACACATGAGAGTTTTCAACGGGACCGCAGTCCTATAGTTGTGCACGACTTGATGGGGATTGGTCGTGCAGGTGTTTTTATTGCAGTGGACAGTCTTGTTTCCTATACCCAGTTCACGTCTATGAGATGCAACATAGATATTGCGAAACTAGTTTTGGATCTGCGGCAGCAGCGCGAAAACACAGTGCAACTGTCGGGCCAGTACGAATTCATATACAGGTGTGTGCATTGCCATTTGAAGCGACTAGAACTCATTTTGGAGACCAGGAGGATGTCACGTGCCAAAGGACACGACTACACGAATGTAGGAACGACAGTGAGTCCAGCAGTTTCAATGAGCACAGTTAATTCTCAATTGACCCCAAACTTGACCCCCGTTGGAGGACACCAGCCAATGCACCTCTGCAATGTGTAGCCAGCACGGTTCTAGAAGTACATTAGCAACTCTTTAGTCTTTCTTTTTTTTTATTTAATATATTTTGTAGCTCCAATCAAAACTGCTCTCAATTGAACTGACTGAATATCTAGACAGTAATGAAGGCTTATCATGGACTCGGGATTTGGTCACTGTTTACAGTCCTCGTTTTTAGTATCACACTTTTAGGGTCTTTTCTAACGAATTGCTGGTTTTGCGTAATTTTCGACGTCAGCAAAAAATGTGGTATCGAAATAACATTTCTCTTCTGAATCGAGATCTTAAAAGAATAGAAATAAATTAAGATAAAAACAGTCTCCGCGCAAAACTCGCAATTTTATTCGAAAAGGTCTTTTCACTTTTCTATGTAGCAAAATTTGAATGCTTTCACTAACTTGTTTTCAATACGTTGTAAGGCATCTGAAACAGAGTAGCCCTTAGACTGATGAGCACCGATGTATGGTCTCGTTAGTGATACATTACTCGGTATTTGCGGCGTCGTATTAGGTCTAAAAATAAAAAGGCTTCAAATTTTCGTGGCAAATGAACGTTTTTGATGGTTTGCAATTGGCAGGGTGGGACTTCTTGTATAAAATTAGACAAGCCGGCTAAATTCCTAACAGTCAATGAATGTAGTGAAAACTCTTATACAGGAGGTCGTGATGATTTTTTTATTTTTCAGTAAAAGTCTTGAAATTTGTTGAGGCTCAAATTTACTTTTTTTTTGCTGTTTGTTTTTTAATAAGTTCAGTTTATTTCCTTTGTTATCGAACAGTGAAAGTGTAAAGGTCACCATTAGTGTGGTCGACTTCTCGTTTCAAAAGTGGATCTTTTGATCCAGGTTTTTCAAATTGGGTTGTTTTTTGTCGAAAAGTCTCAATCATAACGTTTTTTGGAAAATGAAATAGCTTAAAGGCCATCTATGTTTTCTTTGAAATACGAAAGTCGAAGCTTTTTTCAAAAAGCACGTGTTTTTTTTCTGTTTACTTGCGTTAATTGACTCCTCCCACTGGCTGTTGGCTATGTTTTATTCTTTAATGGGAGTATCTTGTTCGACATTGAATTGATGCTAACTTATTGGTCTGTATTGCTCTGCTAACAGAGCAGAAATATTGACGTCCCCTGTGCAGATGCTTTTTCAAGAAGAAGATAGCTGTTATCTGTAAACAACTAGTACTAGCCTTAACGCGTTTACTGTCTGTGTTTCCCTTGTGGCGGGGTTGTGAACACTTTGTCACCAAATAATGAACTTTGTCACCAATTAATGAACCTTTTATTTGCGAGGTAGGTTAGAAAAACAATGTTCGTACTAATAAACCTACGCTCGCAAGCTCCTAGTGTAATGACAAGGTACAAGGTGTCTTGTTAATCTGGACAAGGTACAACTTCGGTCACGGCTATAATGGTTCGGCCATGTTCACCGAAAAGAAAATGACAATGCGCTATAATCAACAGAGCGTGTTTCAGTCCCAGGAAAAAACCAGCAGGAAGGCCTAAAAAACGCTGCATCGATTGTGTCAAAGGTGATTTCAATACTTCTAGTCTCAAATCCCTAAAATCTGCCTTGATCGAATGGCATGGAAAACTTATTATCTTCCATTAAATAGTTTGAAAGCTATTCAGAATCTCCTCACATCTGAATGCTGGAATTTGTCGAGCTATCCATCTATCATTACAGTAGGAGCTTGCGTTCAACACTCAGCGTAACTTACAAGGCAATAGGAAGGAGTGTTCTGAACTACGCAGCGCCAATTTGGACCCCCACACTTAGCTACACCAACTAGCAACGTTTACCAGTAAAGCAAAACAACGCCGTAGGAACTACGGGATGCCTAAGAATGAGTGACATAACTCATTTGCATGATGATACTAAAATTCTACCGGTTAAAAACACAATGAAATGCTTTCTAAACAGTTTCTTCTCGGGTGCCATCAGGAGCACAGAGCTGACCACCACACTGTTAGCTACCAAGGTTTTGATCGGAACATCAGACCAACCCTCGAACGTAAGTTCAAAGCTGACATTGAACATTAGCTAAACAAAAACCGAGAGAACATCTCAAAGCTTGAATATGTTAAAGGAATCAAAAATCTTCACACAACAGAAGTACAAAACTTTCAGAGACCCTGAGGGAGCTGCAGTGATGGATTGAACGAGCCGAAACCAACATGACCAGTCAGGAAAAAAGTTTCCTTAACTCTCTCTCTCTCTCTCTCTCGATTCCTCAAACATAAGCAATCTCTCTAATTCAATCAGAAGCTCGAAGCAGAGATCGATGTAGCTACAACAACCATTGCTTACACACTTTCCGAGCGTCCAACCGTCTATTTTTTGAAAGTATACTCGTAAATAATATCAATTATGAGTCGTTGATCGTTGTGAAGTCATTAATAAATTCTTGGCGATTTTTTCTTTTTTTTCAAAGGAAAAATCTTATAATTCGCTTATGCTCATATTTGATTTTTCGCTGTTTAACTTTGATTTCTTTAAACTTCAATTGTTTTCCTTTTTTAAAAATCTATCGAACAGCCAATTAGTAAAGGTCGCAAAAACTTGATAGTCTTCTAGTTTCGAAAATGATTACAATTTTCAGGTTTCCAAGCGGAGTTTCAACTTTGTATGGATCCAATTTTTTTTTTAATTTTGATCCAAAAAGTGTCAATATTAATCTTATGCTGTAATTCAAAGAGCTTCATGGCCATATTATTTTATTTTTGAAGTTGGAAAATTGACCTTTAAAAAAACAAGTCAGTTTTTCTGTTGTCTCGCCCCAATAGGCTTTTTTCCAACTGTTTGTTGGTTATGTTTTGAGTTCTAACAATAACTACGACAAGATGAATATCAGGAATAAGAAAGAAAACAACAATGAGACGGGTCTGATCCGGACTTTGATCTTGATAGGCATTTATGAGGGACACTAAAGCAAACAGAACAGAGGCCAAGTCCCACACCCAATTAAAAGAAAGTTATTAGCCGAAAATTTTATCACTAAAAACACTTACTCTCATTTTTTTCTGATTTCGGGGTGAGCTAGTAATTCAACAATTATTCGTTTACCGCTTAATTCGTTCAAGTGCCCATCAGAATGTGTTCATTTTCCTTGTTTTGCTCGTTTTCAAGTTCACTGTCTAGAGAAGACGCGTCTCCTTGTCATTCACCGAAACGCAGTATCTCAAGTTCTAAACTTGAATAATTTTTAATCATTTTTTGTGCATTTAAACCTATATTCAATGGAAAGTTTTTTTTTGAATTTTAACGATTTTTTTTATTTTTCATCTAAGTTTCAGAGGACAGTAACTATTTTTTTTTCTCGTTTTTAAGGCTCTTATTTCAGTGTTTTAGGTCAGTTGGCTTTCTTCGAAACACGAATTATTGATGTTTTTTGTGAAGTTTTTTTTACAAAATTACTTTTCAAAACATTTATTGCGCGTGCTTTTCTAAAAAAATTTCTTCAAACCGGCATTGCGCGCTATTGAGAGGGTACAGAAACCTATTGTGAAGGAGAAGCCATCCTTGAGACATGTGTAGTTTTACCTGATTTTTTTTTTAAAAAGAACGTACTGGAATTTTTCTATTTTTTTTTTGCATTCGTCTATAGAAACTGGAAATAGTGGCAGAATAATGCGATTTCTTGATGTTTTCACTTGTAAGATCAGTTTTACCCTTTTCTGACTTTTTTCCGGGACTAAATTTTGAAAAATGATAAAATTACTCATACTGAATTCTCATGAAAAAATTCGAGCTGTCCGGTGTGTTTAAGTTAAGTTCTTAAGGCGAAAAAAGGTGAGAAGTAATTGCTTTTTGAGTTCTAAACCTGTTTTTCTTATTTAGTCATTCCCTTGGAAATTGTTGAAAAATGTCGAAGTTTTATCCGATTTTTTCTTCGTTGAGGTCTTACATTGCAATTTGGAGAGTCTGATTTATCAACATTCATTGTAAGTTGCCACAAAGGTTCTTTGTTGGATGTAAAATTGAACAAAATAGACGTAATTTTTTAAAATTTAAATGTAAGAAATAAGTTTAAAAGAACAATTAGTTTTTTAAAGCTTAATTCTTTTTTAAAACGACTATTTTGTTCAATTTGACATCGGATATTTTATAGGATGCTCCGATGGTCCTTAGGGACCCGTAGAGGAGCAAACGACAACAAAATAACCCAAATCCTGTGAATTGAAGAATTTCTTTATTCGTGTATTCGTTCTTAATTTGGCTTAGCATTACTTACAATTATGTTCGATGGGCGCAATTTTCACGAGAAAGCCTGTAAATTTGCCCTCCCTGGTCGTCCATTCGGAATTGCCAAATTGAGCGCCTGTTGTGATATAAATTACGCCTAACAATTGGTCAGGTAAGGAGTTTGGGCGCTAACTTGTATGGGCTCGAAACTACGTTGAATCTAACACGAAAACTGTTTCTTAACTTCAAACGAAAATGCAAATTGACTTGTTTTTCGTTTCAGTGTTCTATTTTCACACTTTGAGCATTTTTTTCAATTCGAACCCAAATCAGGTTTGTGTTTCTGAATGATTTGATAATTTTTACAAATGATTTGCATTAAGATCAGACTCTATGCTCATTTGAACTTCGAACATCTTTTCAATGTGGAATAATGATTTCAAGCAATTAGCTCTAAAATCCAAGTTTCCATGTACTTGCACAAAATTATTTTAGATTTTTGATCTTCCTTAATGCCAACATTTTTTTGTTTTGGTAAATTGTAAGAACCTTCTTTTAGCAATAGTTAGAATTCCAATTTTCAACAGGCTACAAATACGAATACCGCAAAGTTTTTCTGCCGATTATGACTCTAATCTTGGTCTGCAAAATATTAGCTGCAGGGGCGGATTTCGGGGGGGGGGGCGGACGCCCCCCCCCTCAGGGATTCGACCCCCTACCGACCCAAAGGGTCCCCCCTTTGATACTTTTTAGGAAATCCATTTTTGCCCGACCGACCCTAAAATTTTTCTAAAGGCGCCTTCGGCGCCAATATATACTAACTTTGAGGGGGAGCGCGCGCCAAAAAAAACGCGCTTTTTTGTCAAAATTTATCAAAAAGTGCCCAAAAACGGCTTTTTTGACTGTTTTTTCAAAAATTTGCCTGCGGCGCACAAAATTTTGCCAAAATAAGGGGAAAACACTGCTTTGGGAGAGCTCGAAAAATCAATTTGGTCGACCTAAAAAAAAAAAAGGTCGTCAAAATTTTCGATTTTTTTTGAAAATCCGCCCCCCCCTCGAGAAAATCCTAGATCCGCCCCTGATTAGCTGCTCAAAAGTAAGATTTTGAAGTTTCCTTCAGAATGATGTTCTGAATTAAAATATGAGGTACCCCTTAGATGAATTTTGAGCTGAATTAGTTCAGATCCAAATAGTTTTGAATTGATGTAGAAGTTGTCCAGTATCATTTTTAGACACTGAAGCACTCGATGGCCGATAGCATCGGAATTTTTTTTTTAAATACCAGGAGCATTTAAAGGAGAATTAGAAAAACAACTCCCTGGAACTTATTTGCATCCTTTTTGTCGGCCTACTTGCAGTGTGTTTTGTGCTTTCAAATAGTTTTTAATAAGTTTTTCAAATAGTTTTTTCCCTGCTTATCAATTCAATTTTGCGCAGCGTAAATACAATATAAGTAAATTGCATTTAATACGC